TTGTAACATTGATACCATTTTTATTCTACTTGTTTTTTATATATTGTCGTATTTGTACATGGTTTTGGTGATATTTTACGTAGAAAATATGTACAGTGGCATATAATAATAGAGTAGTCATTCCTTAGTACAGTTTCAGAGTTCTTGCTACTAACATTGAAGAGTGGTAGAATATTTAAGTGTGGGAGAGCCATGCTTTGGCATGATTGGGCTGACTCGACCGGAGCGATACCACGGCCTCACAGAAAACCGACGGGAAACAACGCTTGCGTTGTGTTATTGAGGTTACCGGAGGCCAAATTAACCACCCCCTCATTTCCCCAATCGCTGAATCCCTAAAAATCGTCACATTCCTAATCCTCAAAAGGCGATAGATGCAAACTTCGTTTAAAACCTACTGTAACACTTCTCTGCATCACCCTATGGTTGGCTGGTAGAGAATGCCATTCGGCATTAAGTCCGCCATTGTATACAGTTGTACATAAAGTGTTAAATAAATAAAAATAAAATAAAAAAAGGCCGGTAATGCACGTGTAAGGTCTCTGGTGGTCATTTAAGTTTGATACGTTCAATGAGAATTTCGGAAAATGCAACTGCTATATCCGATTAGTTTTATATCGTCGATTGATCGTAGACTCGACTAGAATCGTCTAGTACAATTTTAACAAAGTTACAGCCAGGTTGATATTGTGGCCAGTATATATATAACATAACTAACTGTAAATAGTCCATTATTTTTAGCTAACGTCAAAAGGGGAACTTAAGATGTAAATCTCTAAAGCGGTACAAGTAACTATCATCATAATACAAGTACAATGAACTAAGCTCAAGGCAAACTAAGTAAATAAGGATATAAAGAAACCTTTGCACTCAATGTTGACCGATGGACTTGCAATTATAGAGGATTATGTTACATAAATTATGTATATTCAGTAAAAAAACATACGTATAATAATCATGAACTTTGTAATAGTAACTTTAGAACAGTGATTTAAGCTAACATCACGAAGTTATTACTCGTTTGTTTAGTAATAGCGAAGGTGGCAATTGGTGCTTAAGTTCCCTAGTCATGTAAAATATTATATTAATACTAGGAATTTTTTATTTACTGCACCTCTATTTAAAAATTTAAGCAAACCAAATTTCTCCACTAGTAAGCTACTGCATATCAAAAAAATGAACCGTAAAACAAAAATACTGAATTGCACACAAATTGTTGAATATTAGGTTAGGTTTTTCTTTCACGACCTTAAGATTATGGGCTAGGTTAGGTTAGGTTAAGATTTTGTTGCATTCTAAGAATTATTGGATTTATTATGCAATTCGGTATTTTTGGTGGTAACTTCGAATATTTCGATTGAAAAAAAGGGAATTTACAGTTAAAGTATTGAATAGGTACCACCCTATTAAAACTTTCATGAGACATACTAAATTAATTATTATGTTTTCGGCTTAATCACGTCACTGTTTGACCAGGAACTCGACTAGTTTAGCAGTCGTTATTTAGCAGGGCGACAGTCGCCGCGTCGCGGGTCGTGAAATGCTGCTCATGAATATGAGCCTCTAGCATGGCTTGAAACTAGTCGAGTTCCTCGTCAAACATTTACGTGAGTAAGTTGAATAATAATAATTTATTTGGTGAAATATGATTGGGTATTCGATCAATTTTAATATCATGATAATGAGGCTAACTAAAATGAAATACAATGAATAATTCCCCCAAGAAACATAAAATAAAAACGACGATTTGAAAAATTTCATTCATAAATAGCATAGGTATGTATTTTTATTACTTGCAGTGAATTATCACCACGTTTTGTAGTTAGCTGTGTGCACACAACATTTTATTAGGTGTGTAAAGCTGTGTGTGTGTGTCTGTGTGGAGAGTAGATACATAAACATTTCTTCAATCATTTATGTACTGATGTGTGTATAAAAAATTATAATAATACTGTTGTATTCTATCTGACTGCCTCGTTGGCCGAGTGGTCGTAAGTGCGACCGGGTCTCGGGTTCGATTCCCGGGTCGGGCGAAGTATTACTGGGTTTTTAAATGTTCTCAGTCGTAGCACGGAGTCTGGAATTGTGTCCGGTATATGGCAATAGGCTCACCCCCTGTTACATGGGACTCATAACATGAATAGTGAAAAGCGGGTGTTACGTTGTACAGTGGCATAATGTGCACCTCTGACTACCTCTTCGGGGATAAAAGGCGTGATGAACGAGACAGTGATATGGTAGGTACTAATTTGAATACTAGTTGGGGAATTCTTAATCGTAAGAATTAAGGAAGGCTTTAACCGAAATTTCTTTTCCTGGTACTTTTGAGTTGTAATCATTAAACTTTCCTGTTTCCTATAAGTAGAACCATTACCAGCCAGATCAATCCCAAGCGGTCAGCGCTGACCGGTGAGCGCTCTCCACTAACTCTATTATAGACCTTATTACCGATGTTTAGAGACTACATAATAGGAGAGGTGCACACAGATGTAACACCCACTTTTCACTATTTATGTTATGAGTCCCATGTGATAAGGGGTGAGCCTATTGCCATATACCGGGCACATATCCAGATTCCATGCTACTACTGAATTTTTTTTTAAAACCTAGTAATACTTTGCCTCACGCGGGAATCGAACCCGAAACCCCTTGCCGTCGCACTTGCGACCACTCGGCCATCGAGGCCATCGAGACCATAGAGACTACTTGTGTATAAACATATTTTGGGATTTAGGTATATCAATTGGTCACCAATATTTACATAATTGAGTACAGGTACTAAACTATATTTAGCCATGGAAACAGGTATCACGATTGCCCGATTGAATCTCAATTAAAACAAAAAACAAAAAAAAATATCATGCATAAATTATTTTTGTTTTTATAATAACTATCGTGAGACATAGTAAATTAACTAAATACTATATGTATACTATATATACTCACGTGAATATACCGAGTAAAGCTCTACTAGTTTCGAACACAGAGGGGTTCTTCCTCATGAGCAGCGTGCGCAGTCGCGGCGATGTCACGCAGCCTACTCACGTGAGTAACCCGTGATTTTTATTTAAATTATTTTTTGCCTAACAAACACTAAGAATCAGATAATGTTTTAAATGAATAATTGGTCAGGAAAAATAAATATGTTGAACTGACTTCAAAATAATTGTGATTAGAGATACATGACAAAGATACAATAATTACGATTATTATTATAATTACGTTGGACCATAATTATGCAAATTGGGGGCAAAGTGAGGACGTTAAAATAAAAAAATATGACGGACATAGAACAAGCATCTAAATCTAGTAATGAAAAAAAATATTTTTAAATGATATTAAGGTAACATTAGGATGGAACAACGAGAGACGAATTATTTTTTTAGAGGGGAAAATCTTCGAATGACTTCTCCCTCCTCGGCGAGGCGGTAGGGAGTGTCTGACTCTTACTGACTAAATACTACCCCGTTCCTACTCCTGCCTTTCGAGCCGGAGCCCCGGCAACCCGTTAAGTCCACCGCGGCTCCGTATAAAAGAACTGAGTCAGAGCTGAGATCGACTCTGCGGCTCATCAACGCAAATCTCATACGATAACCATTGCGCCAGGCTTACAACTAAGACGACAGTCTAGAGTTTTATTTATCTAACGGCGTTTCCTTACTCTATACAACCTAATAAGGCCTATACTCAGTCGTATGTTTTTGATTGACGACAATGCAAAAGTAAAGAACAACATAAGGATTTTAACTCGTCGAGTACCGTATTTATAGACACAATTAAAGAACAATAGGTCGCGGTCACCGGTGACCGCTTGGTGTTTGACAGTTTAAGAAATTTCTTAGTACTATTCCCTTTTAAAATTCTCCATGAGGTAACACGCATTTAAGCTACGATCAGCTCTCTATCAGTCAGTCACGGATAACGGTAAAATTTTATATCTAATATTGGTAGATAGCCCAACAAAATCATCAAGTTCGACTGAGTTATAAGCTATTTATAATTTAGTGTTTCCAAAGGTCTTTAACCTATCCATGATAGATAGATAACTTGATCACCGACACACCACGTTAAAAATTTGAATAGTTTTGTGACTTTATTATTCTATGTTTATAATTGAGTTTAATAGATATGAAATTGAATTTAGGGCTGTCATGAAGTCTTTAGAAATACAAAATACCAGTCTGCTTTAAGATTTTTGTGGATTAAATCCTTATCTTGAATGAATATCGATATAAAAAGCAGTCTATGCTTGTTTTCATAAGGCTTCTTCTCAATCAAATCATTCAATTCCAACAAACAAATACGTCTCTCCTCTTTATTATACTACATAGTAGGTACAGGCCGTATAAATCTTGGTAGATTGTATAATGTATTTTATGTATAACACTTACGTATGCTGTTGAAATTGGTTAGGTTTCAGTGCTTACTTCAAAATTATTAGATACAAATAACAATACAGGTTAACTTTTTACTGAGATCTTTCATATTTTTACCGAGAGTTTTATATGTGTAAAATATTATCGTTTTTAAAACTGTTCAATAAAATATGGAATGTCGCAAACGCAATGCATATTACTGTGAACATAGTAGTAATTATCGATTTAAGTGTATATGAAAAATTGCGATAAAAATTCATTCAATAATTGTACTTAGAAATTATACTGTTTTGTTGAATATTTTATGAGATACACGTGATTATGTGGTACTATTGCAATCATAATGTTGGTGAGAATAATTTATATCAATATTTTCTTAGTGCAGTGTTCGAAATTTAATATATTCGTGATTTTTGTTTTCTTGTGTAAAAATATTACAGTGCATTTAATGATATTGTGTGGCCAATATTATATGAGTGTGAGATCAAGAAGAAATTGGACGTACAATTGAAATAAAACTATGAGTAACACCATTTTTATAACCATTCCTTGCCCAACCTTTTGCACCTGGGTACACAATAATATTTGCAAAGGTAGTACAAGAATAAATGTAAGGATACTTACTTTTTGTATTTGTTTATCAACAATTTTCTGGAAGCCCCAAGCCGCCATTATAACGGCTACCACTAAAAATCCCATGGACACTGCGAAAATCAACTTGGAATGTTTGCCCAACATTTTGTTCACTTTTTAATTTATCACTTTTTTTTACTTAAACTGTTTTTAATGTATTTTATTTTAGTTTTTTAGCTCCGGCGACATGTCCGCCAACTTCACCACTACAACTATAATTGTCAAAGGATTATATTCGCCCGCTGTTTTCCTTATGACGAGTTTTTTTATTAATATCTTAAGAAAACAAGTTTTAGTTCTTTAACGCAGATAGATTTGCTACAACTCAGATCGCTCTAGACACCTTTTTTATAATTTAAATTCTATATTAATGAGTTTCTTGGATATTTTCGTTTTTTACAAAACTTTGTAACACGCAAAGGATGGTGTTAAATTATTGTAATTAGGTATTTGTGTGTTGACCTTGAATTCATTATTTTATTATTTTTGAGAATTTCTATTCAATTTTTTTAGGGTTATTAACAATGTTTAATCAAAAATTAGTTGCTTTTAAGTTATTGCCAAACGAGTTTATTTTAAAAAAGATTTTAATGTTTATGCTAGAAAAACTTATTACACGCAAGAAGTTAGGTACGTGTGATTAGATTATTTTATTTATTTTCAGCCATGATCGTCCCACTGCAATTAAATTATATTTAAATAATTTATCATCTTTAAAGTCATATTATTAGATTATCGCGGACATATAAAGTAAGGTCAGAAAACTTGAATGTTTATTTCTATGTTTAGATTTCCAGATTTTTTCTTCCTTTAAATAATTGTGATTAACTACTACCTGATCTACGAAAAAGTTCAATTGCTTGCAGACATATCGAATTATCGAAGGTGAATCTTCTTGAGTGTTTGCTATAATATTAAGTATTGAATTATAATGGCAATGATTGGTTCTTGTTAGGTATTCTTTGCTTAAGACCAACTTTAATTGGATTTATTAACAATTTCATTCTTTTTCAAATAGAAATGTGACATAAAAGTTTATTCACAATTCAGTTTTCATTCATATAACGTAAATGTGTTTATTACTTAACATTAGCACTTCGATAAGAACAGATTTTTAAAGTAAAGCAACCAAACCAGCAAAGTATCTGAAATCCACAACACGTAAAATCTTACGTTTACGTTAACGTTTTGTTCTCAAACAAATAACTACTGAATTTTAGTAATAAACTGTTACTTTGTATTCTCTACCTATAAGTTGATCGTCCATCGCCATCTAAAATAAGTTAGTTTAGTTTATCTTACTTGTTTTTGTTTCTGAGATAAGCCGGTAAACGAGCACGCGGATTACCTGATGGTAAGCAACCAGAGGCGTTATAAGAGCGTGACCGGTCTTTTGGGGATTAAAAATTTGAGGAATGTTGGGGATTCAGGGATTGGGGAGATTGGAGAAGGGGGGGAGGGATAATTGGGCATCCGGTAACTACTCACACGACGAAACACAAAGCAAGCGTTGTTTCACGTCGGTTTTCTGTGAGGCCGTGGTATCATATACCAATTCCGCCAATTCGGCGCAAGCCGGCCAATTCGCGCCGAAGCATGGCTCTCCCATACTTTAAGTTTAATTGAACCAGTTTTTTATGTGCGTCCACCGCAAACTATGTCATCTCTCTTCTCTTCTTTTCTTCTTCTTCTGTCGTTTCGCTCTTGGCAGAGAGGTCGTGGTCACGTGGAGGCGGCCGTTCTTGTGTTGGAGGCCGATACAGCTTTTCTCTGTTTGTGGATTGTCTGGCGCAGTCTGACACTGGGTTTCCCGTTGCCGATTTGACTTGATCAGTCCAGCGCATTGGTGATCTGCTTCGTGATCTGGTTCCCTCTACCTTCCCCTGTTCTTTTTTTAAACTAGCAGGAATAACTAGTTCAGCTATACGAACTAAACTTAACTAACTTATTTTATCTGGCGGTGGATGTTCAGCCTATAAAAGTAGTGATAGAAATTCACGGTTTCTTTATAAAAAATTATACCATGATAACTATGGGAATCTTCAAAGAAGGATTATTTAATTATACTAACAAATGATATTTAAGTAATAGTCGCAAAAAGGTCTATAATGTATATAATTTGCATTGTCTTGACAGACAAGTTATTTCCCGTCATTATTTGTTAAACAGTAGTAATTATACGAGGCCTCTTTAAGTAAAGGATATTTTTTTAACATGTTTAAATATCGTGATTTGAAGATATCTGGTATTTTTTAAACATTGCCCCACACTAGGGTTTATCTCCTGTGTCGTGGGTGCGTTTACAAACAAGTTCACATACACATGACACCCAGACCCGGAACAATAATTTGTGGATCACACAAAGAGTTGTTCCGTGTGGGAATCAAATCATAAATATGGTCTTTTTCTTTTTACGATTTAAGGAAAGACTTAGAGACTTCCTGCCATATTTGGAGATATTTAATGATTCCTTAAACTATTCCTTAGAAGCGATTTTGTTCCAAAAATAATTGCTAAGCACTGAATTAAGTAACCATTAAGGTTTGTAAGTTACATGTTAATAAATTACGTTACAACATTATTAATATTAGGGATAAAGTGGTCTATAATAGACATTGTTTTGTTTTTCTAATTCTTAAAAATATTTCACGTCGGTATATCTAGATTACTATTTTAGTCCTTAACACATTTATTATTTTTTCCTTGTATTATACCCGGAAGATTCTATAGCATAGGTAAATATATTATCTGTAAGATAAACTATCGGCTGTATTATGACAAGTTTACGAAATAGTCTATTGTCTTTTTTATGGTTGTACGTTTAGACAGCTGTGGTTGAGGTCTAATGGTAGTAATTATATACAAATTGAATAAATTATTATATACACTGTTTTATTATTAAAATTTTATTGCAACTTGCTTTTTGAGTTTAATTTGGTTAAGTATATCTGTACATATTTCTTACTCCGTGTTTACCTACGATTTTGATTGCAACCAGCAATTCCTTCATTAAAAACTATTTTTGATACTTAAAATTTAAAAAAAATTAACACACATTCACGACACCGTACGGAAGGACCACGTTTTTGTAAGAAAAGGACCATACACTGCTATGTATGAATAACTACTGAACAACAAACTACAATACACGCGATTGTCACACTTAATTGCAAACACACACAACTACATATTTAAGTTATTAGTGATGTACCTACACACATGTCACGGATATTAGTCGGATAATTCCGACTCATTTCGGATATTTTAACGAATAATGTTGTGCTTTATCTAATTGTTTTATCAGTTATTTTATTTGTTCCTTATGTTTTGCTCTTTGGAATGATGATGGATGGGTAAAGGTCAATGTTGATGTAATTGAACAGGTGTATTTGAACTTTAAAATATATGGTAAATACTATTTTAGCCATTAATGATTGAACCTGCCATTTGAAGTGTAGACTCATATAAATGATACGATGTTTGTGATGAGAGAAATTGAATCTTTAATAACCTTAGATATACCTATGCACATCTGGAACACCAGAGGCGTTACACTGGTGGTGGTGGTGTCTATGGGCGACGCCGATTGCTTGCCATCAGGTGATCCGTCAGCTCTTTTCCCGCCTTATCTCCTAAAAGTAAAAAATCAGGAGTAAAGCTGATTACAACCAGACTGTAGGAATTCGTTTGCGAGACATATTAATATTTTATCATTATTCGATCATAAAGGAGTATGGTCAATGGTGGCGTTACAAAATAATGATGAAAATCCATTTCTTTTTTATAAATATATTATACATAACTTTGTATTGATAGATTAGAGTTTATGTTCTACTATATCGTGACCTCTAAAAATTCTAATATAATTGTACTCATGAGACTATATATTTTTATCGTAAACGATCGTTTAAACGATACGATTGTTATAAAAACGTTTATTTCTTTTGTCATATTAGCGTAATAAGTTATACATATATAATGTATATATGTATGACTGCATGGTTAGCGCGGTGGCTAGGCAGTCGTGCAACGTGTAGCAACGGTTCGATACCCGCACGGAGCAACTCTTTGTGTGATCCACGAATTGTAGTTTCGGGTCTGGGTATCATGTATATGTAAACTTGTATGTTTGTAAACACAGCCACGACACAAGAGAAAATCGTAGTGTGGGGCAATATTTAACTCTTTGAGTACCGTCATTATAGACGCAATTAAAGAACAATAGGTTGCGGTCACCGGTGTCCTCGCGGTGTTTGACAGTTTAAAAGATTACGTTTAAAAAAATGTTAGTTTATGTTATACACTTAGTATTTAGTACCTGTCTTTTGTCCTAGGTTAGGATTTTTTTTTTTTTTTTTTTTTTTTTATTTATTTGCTCAAACACATGTGTACATACAATAAACAATAGCATGCAAGATAGCGGGTAACAGTGAAAAAAGTTCGAGACATGTTTGCCGTATACAATGGCGTGCAAATATAGTAGTCACTCATAGTCATTGCGAACTAACCGACATTTTTCGAATGTGGAAACCTTATTCAATATTAGACATCGATGGAATATTGATAATAATATGTCAGAGTAACCATCATTTTACATTTAAAAACAATATAATAATAATAATTAAGAAATGATGTCTACTTATTACTGTTACAACTACAGTAAAGGTATAATATACATATAATAATGTCAATCAGTAAAAACTAATAAAAATAAATATGTCAAATCTGTTATGTCAAAATTATATAAATCAATTGCATTTTATTAATTTTTTATTAGTCAAGTATATCTTTTAGAAATTCGTCGACATTATAATAGGCCTTTCCAACGAAAATGATTTTACTTTCTTTTTGAATAATTCACCATTAAATTCTTTCCAACTGTGTGGAATCTTGTTAAAAATTATAGGAGCCATGCATATAACACTTTTGCGCATAAATGCCGTACTTGACGAATGTAAACAAAGTTTATTATTATCGCGTCGATTTCGAGGAAACATTTCAGCCATACGTGGGAAAAGATTAGGATTATTTTTGACAAATAAAGCCACCTCTAATATGTAGATTGATGGTAATGTCAGTATTTTATAACGTATGAAATATGGCTT